ATACAAAGATTTAGCAAAGTCACAGCAAATTGAAAGGGGGAGGAGGAGAGAAGGAGAAGGGTCTCCCTACCTGCCAGGCAAAATTACATTTATTTTAAATAGAAAAATATATTTAATTTCTTACTATTTTCTTGGGCCTTGCTTCATTCCTTAAAAAAAAAAAAAAAAAAAAAAAAAAAAAGCAGCTATTTGCTGCCTGAATGCAGAAACAATGCCTAGGCAGATATAGCAGCTGGAGAAAAGGGAACCTAGAAATGTGCAAGACTATTTGGAGAATTGGGATCTCATGACATATCTCTTTCTCCAAAGCTCATCACTGTAGTTCCTTTTCTGGCATCATTGTTTCAGCTTCTGTACTGAGCTTTTCATATGAAAACAGGGAATTGTGCTTGTCTCTTTTTAAAAGTGTTCTTCTACGTGACTCCTAACAGCTCAATCTCAAAAACTCTGGGCTTTATAAATGCCTGTACAATTAAACTGTAAACTCTTCTCCACCAGCACACACCCATAAATACCCAAAGCCCACAGTAAGGAATGTACTTCATCAATAACACAGCTCCATCGCTCCCCTACATTCACTTTGCAGAAAGTAGAGAGACAATTGCAATGAACATAAAAACATGCTTCCAAGTTCACTGTTAAAGATCTTTATGAAGTCTTCTTATTTCTTAATGTGATACAAAAATCATGTTTCAGAATACCTAGTTAATATGGAATACACATGCTTTGTTTCATAGCCGCGTTTTCTCTGAACAAGGTTGTTTCTAATATTACTTAATTAAACAAAATTAAATTAATTTCTATCTAAGAAACAAGAAACAACAGCTTTGTTGAATAAAACAATCTTCATTTTCTTGAAGCTATTTAAATTAAAAACATGAGTTTCTACAGTTGGAAAAAAACATCCATGGTTAAGATGTTTGAAGCCCATCAATCTCTTTAACCACACAGCTAATGTGTTCCTTCTGTTTTCTTTGAATGAAATCACCATGAGTGGTTAGATGTTGATTTAACATAAAGCAAATGGAAATGGGTGTTTCCTTAGTCATGTGTAGAATTTATTTTTTAAAAACAATTAGCAAGTGTTATGAGTAAGTCAATGATTTTGTCATTTCTTAAATAATGATATAGATTATAAGTCATTAAAATTGATTACTGAAGTAAACTATGTATAATGCAAATTCATATTACATTTATTTGTTAGGAACAGCTGTAGAATTCACTTTATTGATGACTTTAATTTTTATTTTTTTTCCCCAAGTGACACTTAAATCAATTACTTAGTTTAAAAGACCAGTAATTTTAAAGATATATTTCCAAAGTTTTAAGACACTCAAAATTTGGCTCTTTCAGTTTTTAGTTCAAATGGTAAGATCATATGATAGTTTGTTACTTTATCGTGTGACAAATTAAACCACGTCTTTATATTACACCAATTTTAGCTGTTGCTAATGTATTACACATATACAACCTCTCTGTCAGTCTTTGCTAACATTACATCTAATTATACGTTCATTGATATGTTATTCACAAGAGTATACACAGGTAGGAGAAAATGTCAGTTGCTAGTATTTAAAGTTCAATCATTTCATAAAACTCCAGTAATATAAAAATAGGTTGCATAAAATCTCTGTAAACCATTTCCCATGGGACGACTGACTCTTCAGGCAATACAAAAAATTATTTATCAAGATGTTCAAACATTTTTAAATCATCCTTTTAAGAACAAGCATATGTAAGCTGCACTTCTATGGAAACAAACAAACAAAACCTCTAATGGAGTCAACAGGATCATATTTGTAGACATATTTTGGCTATGGTTTGCCACAAGTTACATCATCTTTCTCAGATGCACCTTGTCCACGTAGACAGTAGACTGTTAAATCTCTTCCAGTTGTTACTGTCCTAGAGATAGTCCCTAGAAATGCTAACTGACACACAGCCCTTGTGCTTATTTCAAAAATCACTATAAATTTGCTTTTATTTTTTCATCCAGCAGTTTCACCAAAGTGATTTGAGAGCAATGCACACAGAATATATAGCTGAACCTGGAACATCACAAAATTTAATGTTAGTGAAAGGGGTAGATAAACATAGTATTGAATGATTTTGCTAGGAGGATAACATTTCTTTTAGTGTTTTCAAGCTAGATATTTTGTGATGTTGCAGCAAACCAAGATTTTAAGGAAAATGTACTTGTCTGTATTTACTTGTGGAGTCCAAATGGAATGAGGTACATATTTTATAGGGATACAGCAAAAAGCAAATAATAGGCAGTTTTGATGGTGAGAAGAGACTTGACTTGTTATAATTTTATTATATATATTTTTTAATCTTAATATTCAAATCTGGGAATAGTTGTGGCCGAGTGAAAAACAAAGGATCAGATTCAAGTCTGCTAGGGGTGTGTGTGTATACAATTTTCCTATTTTAAAGAAACAGATGCTGATTCATATAAAGTCAAATTAATTGCTTGAATAGTATTATTTTACTTGCCAAAAGGATATACACTTCTGCCGGGTATTCTTATATCCTAGTCTGGATTTAATGAGAATTCATGGAAGCACATGCTTTTGAAACAAATGCTGAGAGGTCTCTATCTAACATTTTTACCAGTTTCTTAAAACTCACTTTTACAACTTAGAGTTGTAATATTTTTTTTTTCATTTAGAAATAAATATGCTTCCAGGTGTTTTTGATGAAAATGGGGGAAAATAAACTTTTGTCCTGCAGTTGAGTCCATGTAGGAGAATACCCTTCAACTTCATCAAATATTGACACAAGACCCAATTCTGCAGTTATTTTCAACCTTTTTTTTTTTGGGGGGGGGGGGGAGGGGAATTAAAAAATCTTACAGACACCAGTAGACTTTTTTTTTTTTGCTCCAAATGGAAGAGCTCCTCTCTCTCACCTCCTCTCCAAGGAAAACTGCCAACCTCAAATAATTTTTGTTGTGTTCTTGACTGTTTTGTGGCTAAGTCCTGTGTCCTGTTCTCATCAACTAAGCAAAGGGCTTATCTGTAGTTACATTCATTTGACAAAAAGTAGGATGTGTTATTGATATATATTAAAACTAGGGTAAAAAAGTAGCCAATCAATATGTATATTTTTACATTTCTATGATTCCCTTTTTAAGAGTGTCTCTGTAACAGATGCACCCAATCCTCTTAATGAAAATGTTTCTAAAAACTACATGAAAATGACTTTATGATTGAATTCCAATTGGAAATATGGAAGGAGTTATTTAGGATTCTATAAAGATAACTATATGGATATTTTTAGCAAGACGGGGCAAACAGCTATACTGGGGAGGTACCAAGGACTTAAAAAAAAAATAGGGGAAAAATACAGAAAACCTCTTCTGCTGCATTTTGCACTCACTATAACCCATATATTTTACTTTTAGCTATACATAGTAGGTATAAAAATATCACACAGACACATACATGATCTTCTTTCTGTCCTCCCATACTGAGCTGAAACTGGCCTTGGGAAGATGCTCTCACTACGAGTGAATATCTTCTTTGGCCCTAAATGCCTGAGACTGCTCCTCCACTGCCCAGCAGGTGCTGTGGATGAAAGAAAATGGAGGAAGGCCAGAGTGGCCGTGGCATGTCCATGTGTCAGTGACTTTTAGTTATTAGTCCCTGGGATTATTGCTAGCACCGTTGAAAAATCGCTGTGGTTTTCAAGAGCCCCGGACCAGTCCTATGATTCTTACTACCTCATGTAGCAAGGTCTTACTGATCCGGTTTCCTTTTAATGTCATGTTTCTCTTAATACACGTTAAAATTTTCTTAACAGGAGCACTAATTGCATAGGTATGCAGCAGAGTCCAAATGATTAAGTTAAAAAATAAACCTTTACCACTGACAAAGGTAACGACTCAGGTTTCCTGGCGTGGCGTGGGTGTTTTAAGCTGAATTGTCAATATGCTTTGGACCTGAGAGTTTAACAAGCCCTGAGTGGTCCTGCCTTGTGCCAGCGTTTCTGTGGGCAGATGCAATTGAGAGGGTTTTTATTTCACTGCTACAGCTAGAAAAGGAAGGGAATAGTTTAAAAAAAAAAAACAAAACTGTGGTGGGATTATCAAGGCAGGTTTGTGCTGCTTTGATCTTCGGCTGTGCCTCCGTTTCCCCCCTCTGGCCACCGCCCGGAGCAGCCCTCGGTGGGCACTGCCAGGTGCAAGAGACCCCCCCAGGTTCTCCCATGGGCTCGTGTCCCCCAGGTCTCTCCGTGGGCCCGTATCCCTGGCCACGCGGAGCTGCGCCCAGCCGCTGCTCCCTGACCTTGGGAGCTGCGCATCGCGCCCATCCTGAAAGGTCAGAGCAGATCCTCGCTGTTTCGCAGCAACCCAGAGGGAAACAAACCCCCCGCCACAATCCCAACCTCCCTTTTCTAGGACGGGGTTTTAGGCAGGAAAGCACCAGCGCTAGCAGCCTGCGTTCCGCAGCCGAGCCGTGAGCCAGCCAGGGCTCCCCGCCTCGCTGCCCAGGGGGCTGCCCTGCCCCTCGCCGTGTCCCTCTCTCCTCCGTGCCGATGGCCGCCACCGGGCGCTAACCGAGGGGTCCCCGGGGGGCGTCCCCCGGTGAATTCACCGCTCCTGGGGACGGCCGAGTGGGGCCCGCAGCGCAACTTTGGGCTGAAGGAAGCAGGGAAGCAGCCAGGGTACGGCCAAGGAGAAAGTGCCGCGGAGACGCCTGCCGGCCTTCAGCGCGCCAGCAGCAGCCGGGGGAGGCGGAGGGGGAGGGGGGGGGACCGGCAGGCCCCAGGTCCCCGGCCCCGAGCCCCGGGGAGGCTCCGCGGTGGCTCTGCGCCCCTCGGGGCCGGGGGCGACCGATGCTCGCCCAGCCGCCGGTGGCGAGTGGCCGCCCGCTCGGTGCTAGCCTTCACCCCGCGGCTAGGAGAAAGGAGGGGGGAAGGAAAATAACGAGGGGGGGTGGGGGGGGAAGCAGGAAGGGAGAGATTTTTGTCCTTCGCCGGTGCTGCTCTACGTGATAATATGTTTATATGATTAGCTGAGCCCAGGGGTGGGGAGCGCGGAGAGAGGGGGTGGAGATTGGAGGGGGAGGAGGCTGGAGGTGACTCCAGTTCAGCGCCGGCGGAGAGTCCGTGTCAGGACTTCGCAATCCCCAGTCACACACGGAGAGGTGCATGAGCAAAAAGGAGGCTGCGATACGATTCATTGGGATTTTTTTTTTTTTTTCCTGGTGTGTATGTATTGCGTTTTTCCCATCGCTGCGCGCCTTACTCGCTCAGCGCCTGCTCTCCGGCCGCCGGCGGGGCAGGAGCACCCAGAGGACGAGGGGAAATAACGCGGAGCCGAGTCGAGTCGAGCCGTGCCGGAGGCCGGAATGTCATCCGGGGAGATGTAAATCAGGTCGCTGCGAACGACAGAGACACAGGAGGGGGGGGGGGCTCGTTGTAAAATTTTTGAGTTGTTCCCCGCTACTCCCGCTGCTGGCGTCGCCTCGGTTTCCCTTCTGATCGCTGCCTAGAAAGGACTCCAAAGGCTGGGTACATACAGCACGCTGCGCCCTTCGCCCCTTCCATCTCTGTTTTTTTTTTTTTAATTTAATTTTTTTTTCATCGCCTGCGTGCGGGAGCCTGGCTGCATCGTGCGTTTCGTGCGGAGCGGAGCGTCGGAAACCGCAGGAAAATGTTGACTTAGCCCCGGAGAAGCCTGCCGGCTGGCTGCGCCGAGGAGAAGCCGCCGCCCGCTGCGCGCTGCCCCAGCCCGCCGAGCCAAGCCGTGCCGCGCCGCAGAGCCGGCCGCCTCCCGCTGCCCCACCGGCACCCAGCCGCAGCCCCGCTCCGCCGCCGCCCCGGGACTAACTCCCTCCTCCCTGTGCCCACCGGGGCGAGAGCTCCCGGCCCGCCTTCGGCTCGCAGACAGAGGTAAGCGGGGCTCCGCGCTGCTGCTGCTGCTGCTCCCTCCTCCCTCCTCCGCTCGCTCCTTCTGGCGCTGCGGGGAAGCGCCGACCTGGCTCCGGGGCTGCCCGGCTGGCTGCTGCTCGGGGGGCCGCTCCCCCCGCCCCTAGCACTCAGCACGCACCCCCCAGGGGCCGCCACCCAGCTCCCGGCCCCGCTGCCTGAGGATGAGGAAGGCGCTGGGGGGGGCGGGGGTGGAACGCGCCCCTCGGCGAGGCCCCGGCTGCGAGCAGCGAGGCCCCGCAGCGCCGCCCGGGCTCGCCCCCTCCGGCCGCTCGGCACTGGGCCGGGGGCTCCCGCAGCGCCCCCCCGGCCTTTCCTTGCCCTCCCGCGGGCCCTGCGGCAGCCGCGGCGGCTCCGAGCCCGGCCCGCAGCGCCCGAGCCCGACCCGGGGGGGGGCCGCGGGGCCCCCGGCCCCCGAGCAGGCCCCGGCGCCGAGGGCGCGGGGGGGAAAGTTGTGACGGCCGGGGGAATAGCGACCTGTTGCCGGCGTGTGCGTGCGGCCCGGCCGAGCCCCCGCGGGGGGCTGGCAGCGGGAGGAGGAATAAATCGCCCTTTGTCGGATGTGGAGCGAGAGCAACTTTTTTTTTTTTTTTTTTTTCATTTAAAATTTTCTATTTATTTTCGCGTGTAGAGAAATCTGGGGCCATCTGGAGACAGAAAACAGAGAGTGTCAAGAGGCACCGTTGCTGTGTCTGGCTCTAAAAATAACATCTTGTTGTTAGTCTGCGCTCAGCCCTGCTGGGGCTCGGGCACGGAGCGGGGCTGTGTCGACGCTCAGGTGCTGCGTTCCGCCGGGAGGTGCCCCGAGCGCCTCGAAGGGGTCCTGCGGAGCCAACGGGCTGCTCCTCGCTCCCCTCGGCTCCTCTTCCTTTGTTACCCGCCGCTAAAAGAGGTGCCATTTCGCATCATTCTGCCCAAATTGTTGGAATTAATGCAAGAGTGAATTCTTACCGTTTGAAGGGGGGGGTATTAGCATATCAAAGGGTGCTCAGCTCCGACTCAATTGAGAAAACTTCGGCTCGTCTTCCATTTGCTTCCCAGCAGAGGCCCAAAGGGCAGTAGGAATTCAAAAGGGGCAAAATGGGGAGGTGGATGTGGGTTATGTTGCTGAACTTTCGCTGTTTTGCAATTATGTGAGTGAAAAACAAGGTCCGGCCGCTGCAGAGCCCTTGCAAGCGCTCAGACAATTAGATCTATTGATTAATGGCTCGTTCCAGGGGGAAAAAAAAGTGACCTTTTATGACAGGCACTGTTGCATGGTTTCTGATGTCTGCTGCCTGTTGGAGGATTTAGAAAGCCTTTTCTGCCGCTCTCCTGCTTTGGGGCTGGCCTGCACGCTGCTGAGCTGGGGGACTGAATGGGGAAGACCAGCTAATGACTTCGGGAAACAAATGAAATCTTGTAATGAAAGACCTCTCCCTTCCAAGCCTTTGAAACAAATACACTTCAATCCTTAATGGATGGGTAGGCTGGGGTAAGAAATTTTTATGGAGAGTTTCAAAAGAAGTTTTGAGCCCCACCAGGCATATGCTTCCATTTCCTTTTTCTTCTGAAGTAAAGTGAAAATGAGTTTGTCTTGTAATCTCATTTCATCGGTTACGTTGTGTTTGGCGAGATAATTTAATTTGCAATTAGTGTTACCCTGTAAAAATAATATGATAATAAATATGGCAAAACTGCTATTTCGGTGGTAGGGGAGAACATCTACCACATTTAAAGTTGTTTTACATGGCTAAATATTTGCAGATTTTTAAGTCATTTGTTACAATTTCCTTGTGTCTTCAAGGGGATGTGGTTGGCCTAGCCTTTTATTATCTTTGCCAATCGATATTCATAATCTCCCAAACCAAAAGCCAACAAAAGGCAGTTCTCTATCAATAAGTTGGGACCTTTTCCAGGGACCAGATGCATCTTAGGGACTGTATTCTGGTTTGTGTCTCTGGCAAACAAAAACAAACAAACAAAAAGAAAATAAAAGAACTTCCTATGTCTTTGTTTCCTATTCCTTCCTTCCAAACCTTTTAGTTGAATGATACAGATACTGAAATATGTATTTTGTGCTGTTAGAAGTGCTTGGCTTTTTTGGTGGGGGTTGGTTCTCCATTGGACAGTCGGGGGGGGGGGGGGGGGGATTCTTTTCTAGCCATGGAAGTGATGTGCCTTTAGAGTAGGATGTCTTCACTCACGCGTCAATTTCCTTTCATTTAGTGAAGGAACTGAGCATATATGGTATGCCTTGTGAAAAAGCCCTGCGATTAAATAAATAATTCATATAGATTTCTGTTATTCCTAAATGAACACGAACATTTGGGCATTTTGTAAACAGATGTGTTTAGTGGTCCTAAAATTGCATGTCATTACTTTCAGGTAATTTTCAGCAGTTTATTTACCTAATGTCTTCAGCTGTCTGAAGTAGTACCTTTTGGTGGTATAAAAGGAACATATTGATGTAATTGCCATTATCACACTTAAGTTGCTGTTAACTAGTCTGCTTTGAATGCAGAGTGCTGTAAAGAAAGCACATTATCCTCACAGCTATTAGGGATAATCTAAAAATTGTCTTGAAAATGTTGCACTTCAGTTTATATGATGGCAACCCCAAATTAGACAAATCTCTGAAGTAAAAAAAAAAAAATGTAGTGGAAAGAAGATTTTCAACATTCAGATGACAAAATTGGACCACTTAAATAAAAATTAATGTGCTGCAGCAGCACTTCAGCTGCCATTTTCAATCACTGGGTTACTATGTGTTGGCAACAGCAAAAAAAGCGTAGACGTTCAGATAGCTGAAGGAGTTGGTAGTTGGGGGAATCAGGATGTGGAATCATGTGGGGTAGAAGAAACCAATTACTTCAGGTTTTGACTTGAGAATTTCCAGTAAACATTTTTTTCTGGCTTTTGTCTCTCCTGCTCATTAATATACCAACATCAAAGCAAGCAACCAAACTTCCAAATGTTATAAAAACTAATGTAAAGATACAGATCTCACATGTAGTCTTGCAAGTCTTAATTTAAGTCAAGCAGTTGGAGTTTTTATTGCTGCAATTTTCACAATCAGCAGAGACATTAACACCAGGCTTCTGGGTGTTTCCCTTCTTAAAATGAGCAAGAGGAGAGCTTTAAAAAAAAACAACAAAGTTTGCGTAGTTAGTCCTTATTTGATCGCTTGAGAAGCTTTCTCAATGTTTTATTTATCTCTTACAGCTTTTAATGCTTAAAGCCAGGAAAGGGGACTACTCTGGAATTCTAGTATCTAGTAAGGAGTCACCTTATGAAAATTTAAAGAAACTAGGTAGTATAGGCTTAGGAACGTGTTGTTTTTATGGTTAGTAATGTGTACTGAATGATTATTTTTGTTTTAAAAAATGTAGTATGTAAAGATGGCATTTTTTTTTTCTTAAGTAGAACAGTTCTGATGAAGAAAAATGCTAGTCTCGAATTACAGCCTTTTAGAAAGGTCCATCACTTTCACTTAAGTGAATGTTAGAAAGAGAAGTCTCTAGTTAAACAAAATATTTGTCTTAAGTTGAATTTACAATACATTTCTATATAGTGTGTCAGAAATTCATATAGATAGCAATACTTACCCAATATAAAGAATTGCTTAGCGTTCCGAAAAGGTAGAAAAATGTCTTTTTTCCTGAAATTTGATCTAAAAAGTTAATGTATTTCCAAGCCCATGCTCATCATATGTCCACCTAAAATGTTGACCTGTTTGTAAGAAAATACTGCTAATTTCCACAGCTCTTCCCAAGGATTGGGCTGTGCCTTGTACTAATGGAAAAATCCCTACCAATAACTGCCTGCAGATATTTTTTGTCAAAAATTGCTGCATGTCTTCTCTGCGTTCCCACTGAGGGATGACTGATAAAAGGAGAACTTGAAGTAGTGATTAATGATTTTACCTGGTGAACTGCAAGAGAAGAAGTTAAACTACATCTGGTGTATAATTGAAATCATATTCATGCATAGGTAGACAAGCAGTCAGTTATAAAGCAATATACTTTAGAGCATAGGTTAGGGAAATTTATAGTCAGACGTGTTACTTGGAGATGTCATGTTAAACAGGCTCTTTCGAAGCATTTTTTAGGATTGATGTTTGTGATGTACAAATGTGATTCAAAATTACATGATATTCAGCTTTTAAAGTATTTATGTGCAGCTTTTAGACTTAAAAGCTGCCTTTTATTTTTTTTTAACCCTCAGTTTGAAACAAGTAAAAGATTTAAGCCATCACGGTTGTAATTGCATGTCAAGAAAACTGGAAAAACAAAAAGCTATTTTAAGGCCATTCTCAATACTCTTAACAATCATGTTTAATATTTAAATAGTTTTCCAAGATGTGCATTTTCTTTTTAACAGTTCTGAAAATAAAAGTAGTAGATGGCTCTGTTGGAATACAGATGTAACTTGCGGCATAAGGTGAATATGTACCTGTTTGTGAAAATAATTCCAGTCTTGGTTCAACAAATATGATATTCTTTTAATCATTCATCATATTAAAGGTGAAAGATGACAGGCTTAAAGCCCTTCTCAGTTGTTTTTTTTTTTTTAATTGATTTTTATTTATTTCATATTTATTTTTGCCGGTGGTGTATGAGATATGTTTCTATAGCATAGATTTTGAAGATTGTGTCACTTACTGTAAGCGATTTAGTTACAAAAATGCACTTGCTTAATGCATTTTTGCAGCATTCTCTAGGTAGAAAGTGGTAGTTAACCAGAAACTAATTCCAATGGAAAAAAAAAAAAAGTCTTTTTCAAATTCAGAATTGTAGCATCTTCAGGATATAGATCGTTGTATGAAATGGAGTATTTTATGGGTTTTAGAAGACTGTGTGATCTGCATATGTCACGATTTCTTTTCTTTTGATTTTTTCATGAGGTACTGTAATGATTCAACTTACTCTAAGATGCTATTTGCCAAAATTATTTAGAAAGGCATAATAATCAAAAACTTTGCAGGCTGACTGAAGCAACCACAGTGCTTAACACCTGCAGGTAGAGTGCAGTTTCCAACAAAATGCTATTGATTGTTATCCTGGCACAAAGCAAGCTTAAATACAGTTTGCTTAATTACAACAAAAATGCTTTTTTATGAATAAGGTACTTCATGTTTGGGGAGTGTTTTGTGTGTTGTCTGCTAAGTAAAATCCCATCACACTTGTATAAATTTGTCCAATTATCAGAGCAGCTAAGAGGAGGAAAAAAAAATCAATTTACCCTGAAAAGCACCAGAAATAAGATTATCTTGGCTAGTAGGAACTTGCCAGCACTGTCTAAATTGCTTAATATTATCAAACGCTGCCATTTTTCAAGTTCAGTAAGAAGGATATTGACTATTCTACATGTCCAGGTCTTCTATTTGGCTATTTCTTTATAAGGTATAAGCATGTCTTATTTTTTTTCCCACAATAGCAGTTACAGATAAATCGGAGGATCTAACAATGACTTTATGAAATAGATGGAATAATACCATTCACTGGAGAAATAGTATTTACTTGAGATAAGTGATCACAACTAGTTTTTTTTTCTCC